CAGGTTACAATCCTCCTCTAACTACTGCTTCCCTCCATTGGACCAAAGCGATCACAGAGCGCAAATTTCAGCTCGCATAACTCATGATAACTAAGGACTCTTTTCCATCGAAGACCGTCGACGATGCTTTGCCACGAAGTTCCGTGCATGGCCGTTGGAAATCTGACCTTAGCGATCCTGGCCTTGCGGTTCAAGTTACCTGCACACCTGGTGGACGAGGGGACAATGTTCACGATATGCGAGACCTTTGCTAGCGGGTGAATTAAAATATAAAATATCAGAAAGTTTACTGCGACAAAACATCGAGTGGTGCCGGATCTCCCCGTTGTAGACCTGGATCAGTACCATAATAACTTTTATATAAAACGGCAAACAGATCCTAACGGCAAGTGTATGAAGAAGTAAACAAAAGAATAAAACAAAAAATATATATTTAAACGAATTTTCCCAATGTTTCGGTTTGAAAGACAAACGTTCTTTAAGGGCTGGCCCTTTCTTTTAGCCCCTGAAGATGGTTTGTCTTTCAAACCGAAATGTTGGGCAAATTTGTTGAAATATACATTTTTTGGTTTATTCCTTTTTTACTTCTTCATCGCCTTGCCGTAAGGATCAGTTTGCCGTTTTACACTTTCCACAGGTGAATTAAAATCCTGACGTCACACAAACAATGCCTTATCGAGCGGAACATCCCTGTATACGGCTGTGTATAGGCCATATGAGGAAGTACCCTTCCCTCCGGAAATAAGGAGGAGGAGGATCCGAGAAACTCTACACAACGTTAGTACATTTTCTGCTGGCGAATCGCTCCATGTTGCTATGAGTATATCAGGCTTGTAAGGTAAGCCCTGAGGGTGACATCAAGTTTGCTGTTGGGCAGTAGGAGTTGTCAATCGTGCCAAGGTCGATGTTTGCCGCGGATGGTACTATGCTTCACGGTTCCTTAAAGAGCACCTTACTGGACATTCTTGAAAAGCTTGATACAGGAAGAAACATCGAAGGTTACACTAAGGAGGATTTGTATGCCAGTTTTTATAATAGCAGTTTCATCGCTGTCAGTAGTAAAAGTGACAGTAATAGTTTTTTAGGTGGGATGGGGCATTCTCCTTAAAGATAAAGACAGTGGAGCAGTGGAACAGATACTATATCAGGAAGCTTCGCGTGTAGAGGAAAGCTGGCCTGTTCGAAAGCATTTCTTGAAGCTGAAGAAGATGCCGTCTATTGCACTTGCGGATCTGGGGACAACTGCGCAGCCTACATCAAGAGCTGTTGCTGTAATTGAGAAGTTAGTCTGCCAGCTGTAGCAGCCAAAGACTTGCATTTCTAGTGTGAAAGAACTGCTGAGGTGATTACCGATCTACCCGAAAGAGGGAAGGCCAGTCTGAAAGACTTCCTCCAAAAAATTGAAAGAGGCCAAATTGCGAGCACATTACCAGACGATGATATGACCCGATTACAAGGTGCCAACCCCAGAGCTGCCGTCACCCAAACCTACAGTGATAATCAAACTGAAGTCACCTTTTGATATTACATGATAACGCTAACCAGAAGCGCATTGGTTCTTTTGTTTTCCTCGTTACAAATTTGAGTAATGTTTGTAAACAATGATATCTCCTTTGGAAGTTAAATGGACGAAGGTATTTTACTTGGATATTAAACCAACGTATTTAAGACTTTGTGACAATGAAGCTAAGTAGAAACTGGGTTTCTTTAAAGGTGAATGGGTTCCAGTAATGACATGACTACAACCGGCAGCAGACGCAGTTCCCCATCCAGTTAAGCCGGGCTGTGCTAAAGAGATTGATCTCAGTCTTGAAAGGCCAGCAGTAAATGCAGTGATCTTTGCAGCTGCATTAATGGTAGAGATGAGCTTTGTGATAACATTGCTGACAGGGATTAAGAAAACTCTAACCATGATGATAATGTTAATGACGATGACTTCGAGGAGGAGGGTGATAACTAGAACATCTTGGCATGAATGTCTGGCCCTGGTAGTGAGGAAATCCCACTTTCATTGTTTTGTGTAGGTCGTAGGCCATTTGCATGATGGCGTCATTTTACTACTATGACCAGGATCCTTCAGGGTTTTGCTTTCTTGCGCAAATTAAGGCTTTTGTTAGTTAAACCTCACTGGGGCTACCAAATTTACAAATGAAAGGAAAAACGAAAAGAATTCTGGTCGTAGTAGTAAAATGACGCCATCCTGCAAATGGCCTATTGGAACCTATCTTTAAACAAGCTTAAGGAATTTTTATGATGCAGCCTCGTTTCCAGGATTCTCTAAAAGCTTGGCCGGTTCTATATAACCTGAAAGGCACTCTAATAGGTGTTTTATTTATTTTTTTTTTTTTTGGATTGACTACGTGCTATTAGTGGTTGCCAAACGGAGTTTTAAGCTCAAGCCTCGTTTCCATGCTACCGCAGTGACGTGACCAGTTTAACTGCTTAACAGATACCGTATGTTGTCAAGTCAGATACACTATTATGTGTTATCAGAGTACTTCTATTACAATCTGTTGTCATTGAAGATGGTTTTCAAGTACTCTAAAGTGGAGCCTCGTTTCCACGCAATTGTGGTCACGTGACCACATTAATTGGTTAACAGATACGTTTTCAAGTCAGATACACTGTTATGTGTTATAGGAGTAATTCTGATAACAATCTGTTGTCATTAAAGATGTTTTTCAGGTACTTTAAGCTCCAGTCTCGTTTCCATGCTAGAACACAAACGTCACATTTTAAATCCACCCTTGTGGCCATCGGTGCAAGTTACAAAATTGCCGACATTTTTGATGTTCCTTAGAATGTTTTCCCGACTCTGTAAAGCCATAAAATTCGTCTGTTCGACCCTTTGGGCCCTTTCCACAGACCCAAATGACAGATTTCCCTACCCTTTCATATACTTCAAAGATTAAAATCCCTACCATTGCATATACCTGAAGCCAGAAAAAGGTACCCTTTTCGGCAGGAGCCTCCCTGTATAGGCCATTATAGGGAGTACCCCGCCCCCCCGGGGTCCGTTATCAAAGGATATTCCAAAAAATTATTTGCATTTGTTGCAAAAGCAATTCTAAAAAAAGGTTTGGTCTTGAATAAACGAATTCTCCGAGCTTAAGCATATTCGAATCTCGAATCCGGGGGACGGTTTTCAGAATACTAGGCCGCAACAGCCCGGCAGTCTGAAATATTGTCTCGGTTTTTCACGAAAATCTGAACTTATCGAATATCTGGTACAAATACGATGACTCTTTCTACTTCGGCAGAGAAATCGAAGTTTCTAAACAAATATCAAATTTTCTTACAAGATTTCCATGAGAATTTTCGTAAATATCAGACTACCGGGTGATATAGGTCTTTGAAAACATTTACTGCTGTAAGGTATCGAGACTCGGCGTTTAAAAGGCCCATGTTTGTCTGACTCTCGGTAGGGCCACGATTTTGTGACGTCATCTGTGCGCAACCTGAAATTGCGTGACACAACCTCTTACCGGAAGAGGCACTAGATAACATCGACCTAAACCAGATGAGTCATCGATATGCAGCGGCGTCTTACAAAATGAACCCTCCGACTTCCCATTTGATCGATCGCTGCGAGAGTGTTAATTTGAGTTAAAAAAAAAAAAGGGTCAATTTTTGACATTAACAGTTTATATTACTAAAAACTGTTAAATCTACTACAGACTCAGCAGTATTGCGCCGAATTACGTGGCTTATGGTCTTTCCGAGGAACTTAGCTGAGGCTGGTTTCGGTCGATGTTATTTACTCCTGACACGCCACGAAATACTAACATCGACCGAAACCAAGCCGGATCTCTGCAGTGGTTCTGAAAAAAAAAATTCAATAAAAATGTTAAAAACAACCTGAATAAAATAAATCGAGCAAGAGTGTGTTTATTGCTGTCCTTAGAGTCTCAAACAGTTGTATTTCAGCTTTTTCGACTTTCAGCTTAGAAAGTTTAAAAAGTTCGGAAAATTATTAGTAAAGTTCTACTTTATGCACAGGAAAAAATAACAGATTCCCAATATTGGATATTTTAGGATATTTGAAGAATTTCCACAAAAATCCCAAATTTGGTAAAGTGAGACAAGTCCCAACAAGGTAATTCCCAACCAAGTTCCCTGGTTGGGACTTGTCTCACTCTTCCAAATTTGGGATTTTTGTGGGTATTCTTTAAATACCCTAAAATATTCAAAAATGGGAATCTGTTATTTTTTCCAGTGTTAACAATCAGGGCCCAGTTATTAGCTAGTTGTTCGAAGGCCGATTAGCACTTAACCTGGGGTTAAATGTAACCCAGGTTTCTTTTTTTGTGTGTTCAAAAGCATTTTCTCGGATAATTTTCTCTGTTATTTTTAAAGCTTCCAATTATCAACTTGTAGACAAAAAGAATTAAAACTGAAATGCTTTTTAAGCTTTCAAATCTGAATTCAAATCTCGCACTATTCCTGGGTTATCTTAACCCAGCTTTGAACAACTCGGCCCAGGTGTCAACATTTGGCGCGAAATCTAAAATTTTCTGAGAGAATTGTCCTCTGAGAAGGACAATGGTGGGAGAAGAAACAGCCCATACACCGTGGGAATCTTTATTCTAAGTCGCTTTCGATCCTTATTCGGCGGGGATACGTAGAGGACGAAAAAAAGAGCAGAGGAGCTTATTAAAGCGTATGAAATTGCCACTACTACCCATTTCATGATTTTTAAACAGACAGGGGGATTTTCCAACAATGGTAAGCATTTTGTACAAGTGTCCTCATTTTTAATTTCCATGAGTTTACAGTTTAAGAATCACGTTTGTCGACCATCGTTATTCTTTAATCCAGGCCAGAAAGGAAAGACTCAAAAGCCCAAAAATCACAAAATTCAATGGGCTGACTCACAGGAAACGGCAGGCTGCAGTCTGAGGTATGGTATTCCATTTCAAATTGTTGGTGTAAAGATCCTTGAATGCCAAAATGGACCGGACCGAAACAAGGCACTAAAACGAAAACAAGCTAAAAAGAAAATGCAAGAGGATGTAAGCACCAGCACAATCCAGGGGAGGGTACTTGACCAAGTGGCATAAGGGGAGATGTCAGACAAAAGCCTTCCAGTAGTTAAGGTCTTTCTGCATAGCACCCCCTTATGGTTTGAGGGAAGTACCCTCCACCTATATTGCACAAGAGGATCCTTGGTTTAAGCAAGATAAAATTACTAACATATATACAGCGGGTCTATAATGCATGTCCGAACTTTACCTTGCCCCATACTCCAATCCCAAACCTTTACACCCTCAAAGAAATAAAACATATTGTATGTTCTTCACCAACAAATTCCTTTTCCAAGTGTTTGATATCTGACTGAATTTATGAAAACATGGCTTTAGTGAGTGTCTACAGGTCGGAGCCCTACAGGTCCTATGCTAAGTGTGTCCTTGGTACCAAGACTTTGACTTGACCCTCCCCACCCAGCAGGACAATGGGTGACTGTCCACACCTCCCACTGAGCTCTGCAATTATCATGATAATCATTCTCAGCAGAGGCCTGATTCAGCTGGCTAGGGCAAATTAAGAAAAAGGTAGTTGCCAGTCAAAACCTCTACTGAACACTACTGGAGGGGTTGTGTCAAACAGCCCCCTCCTACCCTACTAGTTTTGTGCCCCTGGCCTGAGCCACCCACCCACTGTTAGGGCAGCCCCTTTTTTTTTGGACACCGGACTGCAGGCAAAAACCTAGTGCCCACGTTTTAATGAAATCAGACAGATATATATTGCTACTAATACTCAAGCCATAGGAAAAGAGAAAATAGTTTGATGGCTCAATGGAAATATTGGACAGTGCAGGACCCTCTTCTCTTAACATACCCATCCCATCCACTTACTGGTACTTCATACACACTTTTGTAGTTCATTTTCCCTTTCAAAAATTCCAGACAGGAAATCAAGTAAGTAGGTAATATTTTTCTAATCAATTAGATATTATCATAACTGTTTCAGGAGAATGTTCCTGATCATAGCTACCACCACATCAAGCACCAGTTTATAGTCCAAGACACCAAAAAATGTGACTGCCCTGCAAAGATTCATGTGAGAAAGATAATAAAATATCCCCATAACAATAGATAGTTATATTTAGTAATGATGATCATATTTCTTTATTCTGTAGTGTTCACACTTTAAAACATCTATCTTGATTCATAGGTTGTGGATGTGACACAAAAAACAATCTCATACTGGGATGGGAAGCAAATTATTTCTCCTGCCTTCTTCAAGAATATCAGGTGAGAATATCTAATGTGTTATACCTTTTTTAAACAAAATATCAATAAACTTTAAGTATGACTGCTATTGTCACAATTTGAAATCTATAGATGTTTTAATAGTATAATGCTATGTTGAAGGTGCTTTCTAAAGGAAGAGATGATGAGAAAGGGACGATGCTTCAACGAAGGGGATTGGATGGATGAAATACCCAAGGTAATAATAAGAAGTATCAAAACTAAAAACAAATAAAATTTACTCAGTATATAGGGTCTTTGTAAGATTAATTGACAATCAGCTATACATCTATGTTGATCTCGGGAAAATAATTGGCACTAAATTATGCAGGTAACAAAAAAATGTTTCAGCAATGAAAATATAACTTCTTTAGCCCACAGTACTGTTTGTTTAAATTCAAAAAAGAAGCATTTGTATTTGTGGGAAATATTTCTTAATGGCGTCTTTTAAATTTCCTTCCCATTAGGTAGTTCCACTACAAGAAAATAACTATCACTGTGGAATGTTTGCCTGCATGGGAAGGAAAAATTTTTGCATCAACTGTGTCATTAAAAAAAAAAACATTTAAAAGAAAGAATTAAACTCTTTTTCAATAACATCATAAGTATAAAACTAATAAAACCTAACTACATCCAGTTTGCAGAGCACCTTAGCAGAGGAAGGAATCCAGATTTTCATCAGGTACTTACTCTTACAAAGTGGAATGCTTTAAAAATACTTCTTTATATTAGATATACACAAATGATGATATTTATTCATCTCTTGTTGTCTTTGTTTTTAGACTGACATGCCCTCCTTGAGAAGAGCGATGAGGCAAAGATTGATTTCCAAAAGTCTCTGGTTACAATGAAATACATGGCCAAATGACAACTGAATTTTCTTGCTGTTTTTTCTTGGCTAAAATTATCAGTTAACTGGGACAAACAAATTAACAAAGGAAAAAACAGCAAGAAAATTCAGTTGTCATTTGATCTGTTTATAATGATCTGTTCTCAATGCAAAAAGTACAAGAAGGAAACAACTCCTTTATCCCTGGGCCTAGGCCTACCATGTTCCTTGCCCAGCATCAATACATTGAGATTCCCTAATTTCTTAAAAGATTTATTTTTTTTATTTTGAAAATTTATGGCAGCTTGGCCAGTGTCCTTTATACTGAACATAATCTAAAACTGCAAGCCGAAGAGGGGGAGGGGATAACTCCTATATAAAAGGGAGGGGATGCTCGTCGTGTCGTTTAGGGGTGTAAATTGCAGATTTTGGTCTCACTTAGGGTGTTCTGGGCAAAACACCACGATATTTAGCCGCAAAGGTCTCTTTTAGGGTTGCACTAGAAGAAATATTAAAAAATTCTATATTTTCAATTTGTTTTATTTACTCGAGTCATGTGAACAAAGTTTAAAATGATCGCTTTTAGGGGTTGGGCCACACCCAGACTGGTCTCCTTTAGAGGTTTAATTCAAAATTTCTGACGAGTATCCCCGCCCCTTCCATATGGGACTCCCCCTCCCCCGGGATTGCAAGTAAGTTATTAGCTTATTTTGCCTGGCCTTTTATTTACATGTATTATTTGCAAGCTTTGTTGCTACAAACTTCGACTAGATAACATGTCAATAAAGTACATACTTATCAGTAAAACGTTTTCTTCTCCTCTTAGCTTCTGTCACTGAAACCTGGTTTCGGTCGATGTTAGATAGTATTTCGTAACCCGTCGACACTAAATATCATCGACCGAAACCAGCCTCTGCTAAGTTCCTCGGAACGACCATAAGCCACGTAATTCGGCGCAATACTACTGAGTCTGTTGTAGATTTAACAGTTTTTAGTAATATAAACTGTTACTGTCAAAAATTGACCCTTTTTTAACTCAAATTAACTGATTCTAGCAGCGATCGATCAAATGAGCGGAAGTGGAGGGTTCATTTGGTAAGACGCCGCTGACATATCGATGACTCATCTGGTTTAGGTCGATGTTATGATAGTGCGCATGCGTTCTTTTTTTTCCCTAAATCGTTCTTAAAATGGTCCACCAGACGGCTGACAATCTCATACCTTCTTGCACATACATCTAACGGCTTATACAAATTTTTAAAGGTGAAATTAGAACTGTTTACTTCTTTTTTATCCATGGAGTATCCCATTTTGGCGTTGGCAAGTCTACCACATGTAAGCTCTTGGCACAAGTCTCTCAAATAAATTCGTCATTTACAAGCATTAGGGATGGTCGGGCCAGTGTTGTGCACCGCTGGCTCGGCTCGGCAGTTCCCATGATGAAAACCCCCAAACGTGACAGTATTTCATTGACTTTTAAGCTTCTTGGTGGGTGCTGTCGTTATTTTCTTGCTTTTTGGGGGCTGATATACGAGGAAGAAAAAACAAACTAGAAGATAAAGCCAGCAGTCCGCTTGCCTGCGAGCAAGCGCTCCCTCCCCCTTCCCTCCCCACCCCCTTCCCCCTTGCACACAGGCTAGCAGCGTTTTTTTTCCACTGAAGCAAACTGTACAACAATCCGCTAATGTGTACTTCGGAACCAGATATGTTAAAAAGTAGAAAGTCGCCATTCCGCGGCTGCTGTATCCCGACGCTTCTGGAATCGATTTGTGATTTCATTTGCAAAATAAGCGATCGATGTTTGCTCGACCTCGATCGCAATTACAAGCATCTTTGCACACAAAAAGGAGTTTTGAATTGGGGGAATTTGGCGTGGCAAATAGTAAGCGTACCTAGTAATTTTTAATTAATTAATTACTTCATTCTGTTTTCCAACGTAGAAAAGAAAAGTACTAGCAACATGTTGATCATGGAAGCACTAGATTCTCCAGAAATAAGGAAGAACACAAAGGTTACCACCGTGAACCAGGGTCCGAACTTTCATTGTTATAATAATGACTATAATATTATGATATCATGAGAGTAAGCCGTTCAGTAAATTATTATTTTTCATCTCAAAAATGAAAACAAGGGTATTTAAGCTACTAAATTTTATTTCCAAAAAGAACTCCAAACTCAAAACCAACCAAATAGTGAATTTTTATATTTGAATATTTTATTTAAATGACTTGGAGGACCAGTCCCTTGTCTCTCTTCAGGGGGTTTCTTTGTCATCAATATGGTAATGGCCTCCTTAACGTCCCCCTTAACGGAAAGCCTGTTGGTGTGGTCTTCATTCTTTAGAACCTTAACATTGTTTGAGGTCCTCTTAGGGGGGTTATGTATGTTTCTAGTCTGAATTTCAAAACCTGTCATTTCTCGTATTGAGTAGGAAGCCGTGTCACTGTCGGTATTTTACTATTGTATTTGCATTTTTCTCTGTCACTGTCGCAGTTTCAACCCACCTTTGTGTCATTTGTCACCATTTCTGCTGTCCTTAAGGTCGCTGTTTCAAGGCCATGTCGCTTGTCAAAATGTTACTCTAACAGGGCCTCTTGTTTGGGTGAACGTCAAATGCAGGAGACATTCCCGATATTGGTGTTAGGTTTCTGGGCATTGTTCCCACTAGATGTAGTAAACAATGCCACACTTTTAGCTTACCCTAAATGTTCGCTTATAAGCGCCGCACCCCACTTATCAGCCCTGCTAGTTATAGGCCCATCTACCAGTAAACAAAAAAAACATCCAGTTACAAGACCCCCCCCCCCCCCCCCCAAGACCCCCCCCCCCTCCCCCATATAAGTCCCCCACTATATTCTAATTAATCATATTTTTTTATTAGGTAAATATTATATCCACTGTAGGAAATGTCATAATAGCGTACGTTCAATTAGAGGTTTTAATTGCTAGGGCAAGACGTGTCTTCAATATTGAGCTCCTTCCATATCGCCAGGGAGAAAAATAAACTTCTTTTTCATTTTCAAAAGTGGGAGAAGCTAACTAATGCACTTAATAGTAGTTGATGTACAGAGGTTCGTAAAAATGCCACTCTCTTCCTTAGCAGGCATCTTTATTGCTGCCGTTGTTGTTGTAATATATATACATATATATTTTTCGTTATTATTGTTATCCTTTTTTCTTTTTCTTTTAGGTTAGTATCTATTTAAGTGGAATTGTATAGTAATTTACTTTATTTAATTAATGTTTATTCTTAAATAACATTGTAAAACTTGTCTTTAATTTAATAATTCAATAAAAACTGTTAAAATATATAATATATATAAGTCCCCCTCTAGTTTGTCTTGAAATGAATTAAATTTTTTTAAGACATTTTGAAGCTTAAAAAATTGAGTAAATTCAAAAACTATTTTGATTAGCTGTTATTTAGCTTGTTTTGGAATGCGTTTTTTAGTCCGGTTATAAATTCCCCCAGATATTAGCCCCTCCTGACATATCCCCCCATTTATAAGCCCTCCTAAAACCTCTTATGAAGTTGTATAAGCCCAGGGCTTATAAGTGGAAGTTTATAGTATCTGTGCGGTGTGGTTTTTAACATGCTTGACTTGCTGTCTCTGAAAAAAAAGTTAAAGTTAAATGGTTTGTGCTAGGAGTGAACTCCATTAGACTTCAAAAGATCAACATTGATCTGTGTAGGTCATGTTTCCTGGTAAATAAAATGTTAACCTGGCCTTGCTTTCATCCTCTAGGTGAACACAGGCAAGAAAGAATCATGTGTCTTATCATGCTTCTTAACCTAAGAGGTGAACTTGATATTAGGATACAGAGAGTTGAGATATTCTAAGATTTCTGATTAGGTGGAACCTTTAGGCCCCGATGTGCAATTAAATCACAGGAAAAAATAACAGATTCCCATTTTTGGATATTTTAGGGTATTTAAAGAATACCCATAAAAATCCCAAATTTGGCAAAGTGAGACAAGTCCAAACCAGGGAATTCCCAACCAAGTTCCCTGGTTGGGACTTGTCTCACTCTTCCAAATTTGGGATTTTTGTGGGTATTCTTTAAATACCCTAAAATATCCAAAAATGAGAATCTGTTATTTTTTCCTGAGTGTTATATGAAATTAATACTGTTGACAATTCAAACAAAATATTTAAGTGTTAAATAATTGTTTTGTTTTTTTTTTGCTCTGAGTTTTGGAATTCTTTTATTAATGATATTTTTACCAGACATTAGATTTCCATGGACAACTTTTTCAGTGATAGCTAATTAAACCTTGGGTTTTATTTCACTTCTTTACAATTGACCTTTGCTAACTATATTTGGATCATAATTTTTTGCCTGGAGGGGACCCTTTGGAATAAAATTATAAACCAAGTTAAAATATTTAGTAATCTCCAGCATTACAATAGTGTTACTTAGTAGTTTCAATTTCACCAGAACCACTAATTAATGAAAGTGATGAAGAAGTATTTTTAAAGTGTCACAGAACTTAACTCTTTCAACTAAAAGTATAATATTCACAAAGATTCTTTGTGAATATTATACTTTAGGTTGAAAGCAACCCTGTAGCAATGTGTTACTGGTGTTTGTATCCAGTGGTTATTTTACTAAGAAGGATCCATTCCAAATATAATGGTTTTTAATAGGTGGGCAGTGATGGAGGAGCTGGGACGCATGAGTGTATAAATACCAAAACCCTCTGTTTCACATATTGAGGAAACGAAAGGACATGTCATGACTGTGACAGTGTTTCACTAAATGCCTTTCCCATTAAAAATGAATAAATAAATGAAAATAAAAATGAAATGAATTTATGATGCTCACCCAAAGGAAACTAAAATGACCTCAAAATTAAGGAATGGATATTTTAACCAGACGTTCAAACATAAATTACTTAATTTCTTTGGGATGATCCATGCAGACTAGGATTTATCATCCATGATGGCTCTGATCATGGTGTATCAAAGGTACCTTTTTTTGGAACTGAAGGAATCCTTGTCCAGGTAGGATTAAGCAGTTCTTTTGATCCACCATGATCCAAGTGACTAGATCCCAAAGGAACACGAACCAAGTTGTTTATTTAAGACAAACAAACATTGCTTTCGTGAATTAAGGTTTTGTAAATAAAGGCTTGTGTTTTTTTAGGTAGTTATGCCAGTGCTGGTTTCTGATAAAACAGCTACCTTAACTGTAAGACTGCTTGTTCTCATTTTGTAAGAGCTTCATGTCTTGTTGACCATCTGTCTCTTAGAAAAATAAAAATTAATAGTAGTGTCATAATGTTTAAATAGTATGTAGCATGTTGATCATCATTAAGAAATCAATAGGGCCTTTACTCAGACACCCCTTCTACTGTGCCTGTAAAAGTTTATTTTTATGGTTTATTTGATTTTTTCTGCTAATAGGTAAGGTATAAGTGAAACAAAATTCTGTAAAACATGACTATACACCCAAGCCTCTAAGGAACACACCATTCAGTGAAAGTGTTAGACTGAAATTCAATTTAACTCTTTTTCTGTTTTGTAGCTTATTCCTTGAGGGGTACTTAGCTGTAACCCTGTTGATTGGTAGGTACATTAATAAGCCAAGGTTAACCCCACCCACCCCCTCCGAAAAGAAAATTATAATTCTAACATGCTAAAAGACTACACTATACCAAAGAAAGGTCCATCAGCCTGGACACTACTCCCCTTGGATGTACAAATTTATCTTCTTTACTGGCATGTTTTGTGACAGAGGGTTTCGTGTTTTAAGTCCTCAGTGTATTTTGAACCTCAAGTGACCCTTATCCTAACACCTTCAGTTGCACTCACATCTGCACCTTTGAATTAAAAACAGCATTGTATGTACTTATACCCTGTCTTTAAACCCCCTAAAAGAAGTCATCACCAAGTACTTTGGCACAACAAAGCTGTCGACACATTTCCGAACCCAAAAAAGTCTTCAAACAAATTAAGGGTCTTTGCATCCCTCCTTCTATCACTATAGGATCTGAGAACTCTCTGAGCTCTACATGTAGCTTTCTAACTTGACTTACGACGCATAATTCTCAATGCCAAGACATGCCCTTGTCACCACTGAACTTTCTTTAGAAAATAGGTACATGTCAAATAAGTGCCATTCATGTGCCATCTTGTCATTGCATCCATGTATTGAAGAGGCTTATAAAGTCCTATCACAGTGTATATTTTCAGCATATAAACCCTAAGCATGCAGATGAAGGATTTATTCAAGGACAGCGTTATTTCATATTTATGAAGAAAACGGAGAAAGAATGAAAACCCTAAACTGAGGGAAATGAAACTGTTGGTATTATTAATGTGTTTGCATGAGAATAAATCAACCTTGCAGAAATAATTTTAATCAATCGTTGATTTCAAGTGGTTCAATAATGTAGAGGTTTTTTCAGGCCTTTAATAGTCAGCATTACACTCCTCCAGTCATATTGGGTCTACAAAAAAATGCCTTACTACAATGCAACAACAACAACAACAGCAACAATAACTTTATTCACCCATGGTTTCCCATCAGAACTAAAAAGTTTACATAACATACTTAAAAAGTAATACAAAAATAGAAAAAAAATAAGACCGTTCATTGATTTGTGTACCATAAAAAGTAAGGTAAATATATGTAAATAATGCTATAACTTAATGTAGCTACTTGGTATTTTATGTACAAATGCAGTGGCGGATCTAGACCTTCAGATAAGGGGAGGGGGCCGGTCATCCAGACCCTGAGATAAGGGGGGGGCGCAGTCTCAAAAAAACAATTTCCGTCCCTTCGGGCCTCATTTTGGTCCAAAAATAAGGGGGGAGGCCTGGGTCCCCCATGCCCCTCCCCTGGATTCGCCACTGCACTGATGTAATGAAAGAAAATAGGTAAAATAATGTGTACACTATATACACCTACTTTCCATGAGAGCCGTGCCTCTTTAACTAAACAAAAATTTCACTATCTATAGGATAAAAATTGGCTAGTGTAAACCGCTTTAAAACTGTGCAGAGTGTCTGCCTGCCACAACTCTATTTGGAGGCTATTCCACAGCACTGCACCCCTCCCTAGCCAAAGCTACTTTTTAGGTTGTTTGTGTGGGGCTGAGGAATAGCCAGTTTGCTCTCAGTGTCCCTTTGCGAGTAAGAGGTGACACTATCACGGTCAGTAAACAAGTTGCGCAAGTATTCTAGAGCAAGACCGTTTATTCATTTGTATATAGCTCTCCAATGTTGTTATCTCAGTGAAGGAAGTTGGAAGTATCTTAAAGAATTCGGATCCATCTAAGAGTCCTGGTTTTGACGGTTCACGACTTCTAAAGGAAGTAGCCTCAGAAATACCCTGCCCAATTACAGACATCTTTAATAAATATTTAAATAGCGGCATTTTCCGTACAAAATGGAAAGATTCAAACCTCACACCAGTTTTCAAATCAGGTCAGAGGGATGTTGTTACTAACTACAGAGGAATTGCCCTCCTACCTGTCTTCTCCAAGGTACTTGAGCGATGTGTTCACTCCAGAATTCTTAATATGACTGAACCATATTTAAGTCCCTCTCAGCATGGTTTTAGAAGGTACAGATCGTGTGTTACGCAACTCCTCCAGTATGTGCACAATTTGGCAACATCATTAGATGCTGGAGAACAAGTTGATAACATCTACCTTGATATGGAAAAGGCTTTTGACCGAGTACCTCATGAAAAGCTTTTATACAAGCTGGAGTATTTAGGTTTTCGTAACCCTTTGCTGCACTGGGTAGGTGATTACCTCACAAATAGACGGCACAGAGTATCTATCGACGGCATCTCCTCAGATTGGAAATATGTTACTTCTGGCGTTCCACAAGGCTCAATAATCGGTCCAATTTTGTTTATCATCTACATTAATGATATTGGATCAGACCTTTCTCCTGAAACTTTATTACCCCTTTATGCCGATGACGCAAAATGCAGCAGAGTTATACGAGGTCAATTAGACCGAGACATACTGCAACAAGACGTATCCACCCTATATCGATGGAGTGAGACCTGGGGTATGAAGTTTAACACTAAGAAATGTAAACATGTCTGCATCACGAACAAAGTAAAGAGATTGGAAACCTCTTACAGCCTTGGAACCGAGCGTACCCCATTGTCATCAGAAGAAAAAGACTTAGGAGTGCTGATAAGTCACAACCTAGCCTGGCATAACTATATCATGGCTAAAGTAAACACCGCTAATAAAGTCCTACGTTTGATCAAGAGAACTTGTGGTACTTGTACCCAACCCCATGTACTGCTCAAACTATACATTCATTTAGTCAGACCACACGTTGAATTTGCCTTCCAGGTCTGGTCGCCACACCAGCAGTTTTTGATTGACTTAATTGAAAGAGTTCAGCGAAGAGCCACTAGACTGATCATAAAGGACAGGCCTTATCGGGAGAGACTTCAGGAACTGAATCTTCTTTCCTTGGCCTCAAGGAGGCTCTTTATGGACTTAGTTTTCCTTTTTAAATGCATGATGGGCCTATATGATTTGGATCTGTCTTATTATCTTGTGTCTACTGACAGTTCCACATGTAAATATAACCTCAGATATACTAATTACCAGTTTAAAATTAGATATGCAAGGACTAATGTTTTAAAATTTTCTTACTTCTTTAGAATAGTAAAGTCATGGAACTCTCTGCCTCTACATTTAAGAAAAACTGAATCTTTGGACCATTTTAAGGATTGCCTGAAATCCTTTCTACACGTGAAGGATATTTCTACATTCTCTTAATTTATTTTTCTGACTAGTTTAGTTATATTCTAGTTTAATATTGTACATGACTGCCACTTGTCTAGGTATTTATGATTTTTCTTTTACTTGTTTTTTATTTCTTATTATTGTGCATTTAGGTAGCCCTTCAGTGAGAGAAGTTGTTTCCTGTTTAGGGCTTTCCGGTCAATACTAAGTGTGTATTTTGTATTGGCAAACTATTAAAGTATACCAACACTGCTGTGTGATATTTACGTTGAAAGTCAAAGCTTTTGCCAGCCAAGCATTTTGCCAGTCATTGTAACTAATTACTAGATTGGACCCTAAGGAAAGCCATTAAGTTTGTAATTAGCTTAAAGGAATGAAATAGATCAAACTAACTAGTGTTCTTTCCAAGATCTGATAATAGTCCCTCAAGTGTTGAAGACCTGTAGACGTTTGCAACGTTGAGATTCGCCGAAAATCAAAATACCCCCAGGGGTACTCAACAAAGTTTTAGACAAGGAGGTTTCGCGCCGAGGTCCAACCCCTCACCCTTTTATAATACAATTTTTTAAAGGTACTCCTTTCGTATACCATATCTTAAGAAATGCTACCCCTCTCACATACATATACCTAGTTTCAGAACTTTTTGTCCCTTTAAACGGCTCGAAAGGCGCTGTATTTCAATATGAGTAAAGCACAAAACCAGAACTTTTTTCTACTGCGACCTTTTGACAGTTAACAAGTGTCTTTTATTCTGAAACAAAAAGAACAAAGTAATCTTTTCCACTCGTCTTAATCAGCAGCTAATATTTTTTTTATTTTGGTCTTCCTCGACTCTGTGGGAGTTTTTTTTGGCCTTCTTTCTGCTTGTAATTTAGCGTAGGTTATTTTGTGATATTTTAATATATGCCCTGTAATTGT